ATGTGATATAGTAACAATGGTGGAAACTCAATCTAAAGGGACCCCAATGCAGGATAATTTCGTAACTTACTTTGATAATGAAAGCTGATACATATATATCATTTGCATTATTCCAGCAATTGTTAGTGTTTTTTAGGGTCCACTTAAGTCTTCTCCATCACTCAGTTTTGGACCTTACCCACTTCAAATTATGGACAAACATATTAGTTTTTCCACATGTCCTATATTTCTTTGAAACATTGTCTATTGTTGCTGTCATAATTTTTCGAATAAGTTTTCAATGAAAATCCTAAATTACAACTTATTTGGAAAAATTAATTTTTTGTATTTTTTAAATTGATTTGAGAGTCGTCATCGACTTTTGTATTAGGTAAGTCGAACGCCTAAAAACGTCTTTTAAACAATTTTAAGAAAAATCATTTTTAAGACAAAAAACTAGTATGCGATTATCAAGATTCATTTTAGCTTCAAAAATCGATTATGCATAGGGAAGGGTAAGCACTCTCACCGCGCTGAAAATTGATACCTAGTCGCTTATACGTTATCGTGATGGAAATTAAAAAAACTCGAATCAATATTTAAATTGTGATCCTTTTATTGAATATTGATTAATTTGTTTCGATTTATTTAATAAAGAACATTTCATATTTTGAGAAGAGACCATGAGGTTTGCACTCGAACTACTAGGAATGCTATCTCATCGATTTCTTTTCTATAAAAGAATGTCATCTCTTTATTCATGGAACTAAAATAGAATAAACAGAAAATAAAATGTGATAATTAAAGGATTAAAATTAAAGTACTGAGAAATAAAGGGAAAAAATAAAAAGACAAAAAATTAAAGTTATGAAATTAAAGGACTGATATTAAATAAATTAAAAAGTAAAAAATAGAAATTTAAATGTACATAAAATTAAATAACAAAAATAAATAGCAATAAAATATTAGCTTTATTTTTTAATATTTAATCCATAACATAAATAATAAGTAACCTGAGGTGAGTAGTCGCAAAGTCTTACAAGATTCAAACATAAAATAAAAAGTTAGCTGCTAGTGGTTAGAAGTTAGAAAAATTAGTTGTTAACAGAGTTCAGACTATAATAATGTGGGTCGTACCCGGAATCGGGTTATCACAAGGTCAATTCGAACAAAAATACAAGTAAATTAAACGTGCAGTGACTAAAAAAAATAAAGAAAATATGAACATCAAATTCGAAATACATGGAAAAGCAAGGAAGTAATTACCCTTTTGCAAGAACACAACTAAAGCATGGGAGCTTGTACGTGATTTTACCCTAGACTTTATCAACCTAAACACTAAAGAAACAAAAGTGGAAAATAGCAATATGAGGACCTCAACTTCGCAACAAATAAAAACACAGAACTAATGACCAACATGCAAGAACACGGCTAGAGTAGGATAAGTAAAACGTAATTAACCCGTTTTAAAACTAAGTAACCCAACTTCAGTAACTTTTAACCTAAGCTTAAACGATACCTTCTTTCCACTTTGGAAAAGCTCTCCACTCTTCCCATTCCCACGACCGTCTCCTCAGAAGCCTCTCAATGCTCAACGAAGCACCATAGCTTGGTGGCCATATTTGCTCCGGCCAACTTCCACGATGGGTGGATGAGCTCGAAACTCACCCTAAACGCTAAGACTACATGCAAGGCTCCACCCGACCCCGACGGTCGACGAGGCCCTCCGACGACGACTCCGGTGTCTAAGGTAAACAAACCAAAACCTAGACTCACCCTCTCTCTAATTCTCTGTTATGGTTCGAAAACCCTAAAGAAATGCCTGTGGTTGCTGTGAAAATAATAAGAAACGAAGACCCCCGACCCCTCTATTTTGTTTCGAATAGCTACTCACGCACACTCCACCAACAATGGAAAATCGAAACTAACAAGTAAAAAATAACTAAAAAATCCGCCTTTTTTATTTTTTATTTTTCGTTTTTGAAGTCGGAGAAGAGAACGTTTTTTGAAGTCTGATTTAGGGTTTTATAACCCATATTACATTCTTTTTTCCGTTTTTTTTCTTTGTATGTAATCTGCTGATTTGGTGAGGAGCATGGCGTGGAGCAGGCAGATGGCAGGGCATGGTGAATGGGGCAGCAGGGTATGGTGCTGCAGTTGGTGTAGCAGGGCATGGGTGCTGCAGCAAGTATGTTGTGGTGATGGGACAAAAAATGGTGATTATAGTTGCAATAATGTTGAAGCAGGTTTCCACATGTTCCTAGGATCTATAATGAAGAACAGGTGGAAGCATGGAAGAAGATTGTGGATGTTGTTCATGCGAAAGGAAGCATCATTTTCTGTTAACTCTGGCTTGTTGGTCGTGCATCACATTCAGTGTATCAACCTGGCGGAGCGACACTGATATCATCGACAAACAAGTTCATCTCGTGTAGGTGGAGAATTCTTATGCCTCCTGCGAGCTACGACATTGAAACGTTGAGCTCTACACATCTCGAAAATAGAAGACGTTGTCAAACACTACGACAAGGCAGCCTTGAATGCAATTCGAGCCGGTTAGATTAACTAATCTTCACTTTCCATTGGCACAATGATTGTATTGCATATTGTGACTATAACTTTCAGGTTTTGATGGGACCGAGATTTATGGAGCACATGCATATCTAACCGACCAATTCTTAAAAGATGGGATCAATGATCGAACTCATGTTTCGGTGGATCATTGGCAAACCGGTATAAATTCTTAATGCAATTCGTTCGAGCTATAGCTGAAGCAATCGGTGCAGATAGCTATCCGAGTTTCACCTGCAATCGATCACCTTGACGCCATTGACTCTAATCCACTCAAACTAGGCTTGGCAGTGATCGAAAAACTCAATGAGCTTCAGCTACTGTTCGGTTCGAAACTTTTTTTTCTTCAAACTAGCTCCTCTAGTTTTTAAGAAAAAAGAACGAAGAAGCTGGAAGGTCAGTCAGTTTTGAAAAGCCAAATGTGTGAAAAAATAGTGTCATGTCATTAATTTAGCAGGCCACGTAAGCATTTCATTACTTTCCGTAACGGCTGATAACGTAGGGTGACTAATTTGTTACAGATCGATAATGTTAGTGACCAAGTTGATACTTTTAAAACATTGGGAAAAACGAAAACTTATACGAATATTTATGATAATTTGTGTAGTTTACCTTAAATTTTAATCTTAAACCTATTAATATTTTAAAATCTAATTCATTTTAAATCCAAATAAAAAAATTCTCATATCAATTGAAGATGATATAAACCTAAAATTATTTTGAAAGAAAAAAATCTTCTCAAATGTAAGCTTGATTATATTTATATTTGTTGGTTTATGCTTGTTTGTTTGTATTCATTTATATTTGTACATTTGTGTTTGTTTATTATTTTAACAAAAGAATACGAACAAACTATAATCCTTAATGAACGAACAAAAATAAGAAGTCTGTTTGTTTAGTTATTATGTTTGTTCTTTTGTTAGACTAAAATTAAACGAATAAATATTAAAACATTTTGTTCGTATTCATTCAATTTGTTTACAGTCTTAATTATAGGTGAGTCATGGAATCCAAATTGTTGAAGGTTAACTTAGTACCATGTTCCTTCTATGTAACTTTTTAGGATGTTTGGACATCACAGCGTAGTTGTATGAAAATATAGTAATTAATCTATTAATTATACTTGAATAATTAAAATATATTTTAATTCCCTAGATACGTTTGATCGGTAAAGCATAATTAAATCTTAATTTTTTAATGTTTTATTTGGCAGTACAAATTATAAAGTTTTATAAGTTTAAAATTTAAAACAACAATAATAACATAAAAACAATATTTATTTTAAAAAATTAACTATTGATAATTCACTTTGCCTTGTATAGATGCATATGTTTGAATTTAATAAAATAACAGATTTATTGAGCACTGAGATTACTCAATATGTTTTGCAATTAATTTGGTATAATATTTAAATATTGAGTGTTAAATCTTTAAAATTAAGATCAACTTATTACTCGAGTTTTCTAAAGAAAATAATATTTTCTTTAACTATTAAGATGACTCGATATGTTATATGATTAATTTGTTATAATGTTTAAATGTTTAGCGTTAAGTTTTTAAAATTTGAATCAACTTATAATAGTGTGTAAAAATTAAAGCATAAATTTATTATGTCAATATTATTTCTTGATAACTTGGGGGACTAATTTGTAACTTTTTATAATTAAGTAAATTAAATAAAATGTACCTTATAATAGAGGTACTATTTTATAATTTATTCTTGGGTTTTTTATGCATTTAATAACTAAACTATTAGTTTTTTTATGTTTTAATATCTAAACTTTCATTTTTTTTAAATCATACATAATATTTAGTTTTTATTTCATTTTAGTACCCATTGTTAAAACTTAACGAATGAGCTCGTCGGTCGTCATGTCTACCATCGTCGGCCGTCGCATCTTTCGACCGATGAAACCCAAATTTTTCAACCAGTAACTTTTTGAGCCACTGAACGTGATTTCGACTTGTGTTTCACTGGAAAATGCCTCAATCTTCCCAAATCAATGATGTACTCTTGACTTCTTCATCCTCCAATCTCCTTCGTCAACCGTCCGATGGGTCTTAAACTGAACAATGTTGGTCAACTCGTTATTCTCTCGTGGTTCACCGTTCGGATTGATTATCCGTCTACCAAAGCTATGACCCGTTAGCCCATCCGTTAAGTTTTTAATTGTGAGTGCTAAAATAAAATAAAAACTAAAAATTAGATATAATTTAAAAAAACTAAAGGTATAAATAATAAAACGGATTAAAACTGATAGTTTAAATAGTAAGAATTAGTTTAGCCTTTATTCTTTGATAAATTAGAGTTCAAGAAATATCCATTCTGTTCCGTCGCCATAGCTTATTTTCACCAAGAATTATATTATAACCAAAATTTGATGTTTGGCTAAACTCTATACTTGAATGGTATATTTGGTTTCCAAAGCTCTTCCGATCATTTCCAATCGATTCTATTGTGTTCTCTCCCTTCATCCAGAGCTGAGGAATCGAAAAAGTTTCACACTTTGCTTTTGCGTTTGAAAATTGGTTTTAAGATCAGAAACGGAAAATTGGAGAAAACAAGAGAAAATCGTTGTGAAAATTACAATAAAAAAATCAATTTTAATTAAAATAAAGAAAATATAATAAAAATGACAGAAACGGATGAGTCGAAGAGAGTGGCGGATAGGTATCTGAAACGAGAGGTTCTTGGTGAAGGTACTTACGGTGTTGTCTACAAAGCCATCGATACGAAGGTAACCCTAACTTCCGAAAGCTCTTTCCTTTTCTAATTGTAAGCATCTAATTGAATGTAGTAGCTGAAGACGAATGCTGGGCTGCCTTGGACTTGAATGTAGTATTTTGTTCTCCCAGCTTTGTGTTGCACGTAATTATAATGTTAGTAATTGTTTTTGGTAGCCAAATGAGCTTTTGGGAAAGTAGCAAAAACAATGACATTAGGCATCTCTGGTTACTAGATTAATTGTTGACTGACTGTTATGAGATTTGTTTATTGTTGGTCCATTGCAGACAGGACAGACTGTTGCAATTAAGAAAATTCGTCTCGGGAAGCAAAAGGAAGGGGTTAATTTTACAGCACTCAGAGAAATTAAACTTCTTAAGGAGCTTAAAGATCCAAATATAATCGAGTTAACAGATGCATTCCCACTCAAAGGTAAATTGCATCTTGCGTTTGAGTTCATGGAGACCGACCTTGAAGCTGTTATCCGAGACCGGAATATTTTTCTCTCACACATCAAATCTTACTTTCAAATGACATTGAAAGGGCTTGCTTTTTGCCACCGAAAATGGGTTTTACATAGGTCTTATTTCTGTCTGCTCTTCCTCTAGTTTAACGGTTGCTGCTTCTTAAATTGCTCGACTCTTAATTGTACTTTACAGGGATATGAAGCCAAATAATTTGCTAATAGGACCCAACGGACAACTTAAACTTGCTGATTTTGGTTTAGCACGCGTATTTGGGAGTCCAGATCGCAGGTTTACTCACCAGGTAAGCTTATAGCTCCCAATAAGTGTGTTTTGTTGTATCTTACTATCTTTACATTGACTACTTGTCTTTTTCTTCAAAGAATAAACTTACCTAGTGCCATGCCTTGCTAACCTTTAGCGGAAGAATTGACCCTCGCAGCAGAAACTCTGCCCCCCCCCCCCCCCCCCAACACACACACAAAATATCATGTTTCTGTGGGAAAAGTCTCGAAACTGGGTTTATATCTTTGTGTCCGATTTTAGTTACCAGTTTTCTACATTTGGCTTTATTAGTTATGCATCCACTTGGTTTTGTACGCAAAAACATGCATGCTGTTTTCCCAGTAAATATCCATCGATATTCTGTGATATATTCATGATTCGGTATCTTTGGTTTTATCATTGATGACTTAGTTTAGTATTTTATAGAAAACATGCAAATATAAGGGTTTATGGAGAGATGCTAACAACGCATCAAACAACAATGTGTTGTCTGATGAATTTTATGTTCCTTTTTGCTTTTTTCACATTCTATGTAATTAGCTTTTGATTTAGAAACACTTCTTTATTGTTATTTCAACATCTATTGTATCTCTCTTTGAGCAGTTGTATTTTTATGGAACTATATATAGGTCTTTGCTCGCTGGTACAGAGCTCCTGAGTTACTTTTTGGTGCCAAACAATATACTTCTGCCGTGGATGTTTGGGCTGTTGCCTGTGTATTTACTGAACTTTTCCTACGACGACCATTTCTGCAGGTGAACCTAACTTCCTTCAGTGTTTTTAATGCATGTGATTTTTTTTGGCGAGTTATTTCTTTGGTACAAAGCTCTGTACCTATATGTCATCTATATAAAGTATGATACCTACTATATTTTCACATTTTCATTGATTCAAAATTTAACATTTGATAGGGGCATAGGGCACAAGTGACATTGATCAATTAGGAAAGATCTTTGCAGCTTTTGGTACGCCAACATCTTCCCAATGGCCAGATATGATATACCTTCCTGATTATGTAGAATACCAATATGTTCCTGCACCACCTTTGCATTCATTGTTTCCGATGGCCAGTGGTGATGCTTTAGATCTGTTATAAAAAATGTTTACTTATGACCCAAAAGCTAGGATTTCAGTGCAACAAGCATTAGAGCACTGGTATGCGGATTCAGTCAATTAGAAATATGAGGACAAATTTGGTTTCTTTTTCTCATATTGTTTCTGTTCAGGTATTTTTCATCAGCACCTCTACCACAGATCCAGCTATGCTCCCTAGGCCTGCTCCTAAGTCGCGAGCACCAGATTTTTAATCCCCAGGATGGTCCCACTGTCCTTTCTCCCCAACGAAAATCAAGGAGACTAATGGCAGCTCCTGAGAGGTTTGAAGGTAATTCCAACCAAGAGGAGAAGATCAATGAGTGTGCTGGTGAAGTGGGACAGGCAGCTGGTGACATTACAGGAAAGAATGAACAAGTGACAATGTCTGTAGATTTTTCCATCTTTGGCGCAAAACCACAGAGTAGAGCTACAATTAACAGGTAACAGCTATTGCATGATCATTTAATAATAGTTAGCATTATAAGGGATTGAAATGTTCAACATGAGTGTGGAAATTAAACCTTGTAAAAATACTATTAAATAGAATCATCTTCGGTAGTCTTGGACAGAATAGTGAATGCCTGTTGCCCTGTTGAAATGGGTTAAAGCAATTATATTAACCTCTATAGTTAAGTCTTAATCTAGGGTATGCTCTTTCTTGTTCTTATGCAATTCAAGAAGTTGTAGAACACCTTAAGCTCCTAATCATGTGAATTTATAAAGTACAAGCACTTTCCACTGTGTAGTAGTGAATCTTTCTCAAAGTGCTTAGCGATCTTTCTAGATGGAATAAAAGAAGTTGAGCTCAATGGAAGGGTTTGAAAGTTCTACTACAAATTTTGTATAAGCCCTAACGTAGGTATCTCTCTTTAGATACGAGGCATCTTGAGAAGAATTTCACCATCGACATCCTTCACAAGAGAATTTCTTCCAAGTAGATTGTCTATAGGAGGATAGAGCCAAATTGGTTCATCATCTTGCTGTAAAGTTTCTTAAGAAAAAATTGATATCATGCAATGCTGGGAGTCTCTTTTAGGGTTATGGGTCAGTGTTTTCAAGCCTACTCTAAGCGCTAAAAGCCTAGAACGATATATTGCCTCAGGAACAAGTAAAGAAATCACTCGAGCAAACTAAGGTGCAATATGTTTAGGTGTTTTTGCAAGTCTCTGCATGCGTATGTGTGTATATATAATAAGATGACTTACGGGTGAAATTTTTTTAGATGATCATTGGGTCCTAGATAATTTGATTTTATTTTTAAACTAGTTTAATTTATCTATAAGTAAAAAATTATGACTTCGAGGAGAACTTCTATTGATTGGATGATGAGTTTGAAATTTACTTAGTTCTCTAAATATCATTAAATGAAAATTATCAAAGAACATGTAATTTTTCAAAGTTGCTTTACATTCTATTTTCTAGTATGGGAAAAGAGGGAGAGAGTTGGGTGGAAAAAGTAGAAACGATGGGAGGAGTTTGAAGAAAATGTTAGGTCACTGAGTTGATTCTTTAACTATTCCATTCAGTGCAGAGAGATCGCATCTGAAGAGGAAACTTGATACCAGCACGATGAATAAGAAATGACTAATCCTTTGGAGGTTTTTAGTTAAATAATCACCCCGGGCGGCCTCCCATCTGCAACCTGGGTTTTATTTGGTCATCGTCTTCCCCCTACATATAACAAAGAAGCAGAAACCATCGAGGCCGAGGAATTCATTTTTCAGAGGATTTTCTTCTAATTTGCTAAATACTGTAAAGGAAGAAGTTAAAGGTGACTCCTTTCAACATTTTGATGAATTCTGTATTATTATTATCATTGGCCCATAGAAGGTAAGAATTTTGAATATAACTTGTTCTTCAGTCTACATATAACTAAATGAGAAAAAACAAGAAAAGAAAAGAGAATTTGCAGCTTTGATGGTTCTGGTTTATGGAAACTCGACTTGATCTCTTATTCGGTCGTTTGATTGTTCTTATTGAATGGTACTATCATATTGTTGTTTACATCATTGGATGTACATATTTAAATATGGTTTTGTTTATTAATATTATATTTGTTATTTCCTCACACATCATAATCATGTTAGAGAAATCTATTTTGATTTTGATATCTTTTATTCATGTTTGTTTGTAGGGGTGTAAATGAACCGAGCTTAAACGAACAAGACTATGTTTGTGTTTGTTAGTTTATTTTTAAATGTGTTCGTGTTCGGTTTGTGTTTATTTAATTTTTTTCATATCATGCTCGTGTTCGTTTACTTAACGTTCGTTAATGTGTTCGTTTATTGTTCGTGAACATGTTCTTTTAAATGTTCGTAAACGTGTTCGTTTAACGTTCGCGAACATGTTCATTTAGCGTTCGTGAACATGTTAGATTAGCATTCGCGAACATGTTCATGAACAATTCCAAAATGTTACCAAACAAAAAGAAAAGAACAAATTAAACAGAATCACCTAATAAAACTTATATAACATTCTCAATAACAAAATATAATTTTAAAACATACTAACAGTATTTACTAAAGTTGATAACATAAATTCAGAGCAACTAAACATATACTGCAAACTTAACAAAAATATAACAGCTTGAAAGATAATTTAAATTACTAAAGTTGCACTCATTAAGACTTCGAACAATTTGACTTTTCAACATTATGCAGCCAGACCCATGTGAGATGTCAAGGTCCTGTTGATTAGTTTAGAAAAAATATATATGTCAAAATTCATAGCAACTAAACATGTACCGCAAACTTTAACACTAAAAAAAAACTTGTAATGAAACATCAAGAATATTCTATATTGACAAATATTAAGAGATTATGTTTTTGTGTGTGATTATGCCAAAACAATAAGGCAGTAAGGTCTAGCTAATTTGATCATAATTTAGATCTACAAATTCGGAAACAACATAAGCATGGAAATTACTCGGATAAATGAGTTGAAATAATCAGAATACCATAACCTAAATGATATAAATTCAAAATAATCTGATCTGAAACGTTGAATCTTACCTAAAATTGAAATGACTTAAACTAAAATAATTAAATCTAAAGAATCTGAGCCGAAATAACCCAAATTCAAAATGAGCCGAGCATAAGGAAACCTGGACCCGTACTCAAAAACCAACTCAACCAGAATGAGCCAATAATTTGAGAACAGGAATTTTGGTTTCCAGATGCAAGTATGAATGTCAAGAACCCGGAGCACCGCCTGATAAAAAAAATCAGATTACAAATTACAAAATCAGAGTACCAATGATCACATCTCATCATTATAAAAATGACCTAAACTTAATACTCCTACTCCTAGCTATTATAGAACAGGAACGAATGCTAACAATGTTGAAAGATACTTGAGAATCCATTAGCGAATAGAAAAGATTTATCCATAACTAACCTAAAATAATTTGTTTCTTTTATCATTTTAATAGAAAAGATTTATTCATAACTTCCTGTACGGTTCATTTGTGAATTTTCTTTCATTCTTGTTACTGAAAACATCACATTTGAATAAAAGAACTAAAACAAGGCATTTTTATGCTGCCGATTCCAACATTTTTCTGGGTGCATATTGTATAGAGACTTCAACAAGGGTCTCTTTTGGAAAAATTCAAATGCACAATACAGTTCTTCAAAACACAATCTACATAGATCTCGGCAGATTATCCCAAGATCATCCCCACCGAAACAAAACAAAAAAAATTCTCTTTTAGTGTAAAACGAAAATCATTTTCAATTCCAGAATAAATGCAGAAAAGGGCCAACCATGATAGATCCTAGTATATATTGTATTGAGATGATCAGATGTAACATAGTTAGATTAAACATACGATAAAAAAAAAGGGAGATAGAAGAAACTGAAAGAGGAAAGACCCGAAAAGGCTTTTCTTAGTTGCTCAGTTTTCAGACACTGAAGGAATCTTATAAACCCTATAAAAAAACTCTTACCTGGTACCACAGCCGAACGGGGAGATGATCGGAAGCATTAAGATTTAATAGCAGAGATGATAGATTGATAGCTTAGGGTTTGATTGTTTGTTAGTTTAGGGGTTGAGGAAAAAAGGGGTAAAGAAAGCATAGAAGAATCGGCTGGAAAAGGGCTTTTGTTTATCAATTAAGATAAAATGGTCAAACTATTTAATTGATGCTTAAACGTCTAATAATTTATAATTTAAACTCCATATTATAACAATCATTCAATTTAGTATGTACCTTTACTAATATTTTAAATATAAAAAATTAAACGAGCTTTTAAACAGGCTTGTTCATGATCATATAAACGAGCTCGTAAACGACCACATAAATGAGCTTGTTCATGAACATAATGAATCGAACACACCTTTATTCGTGTTCGTTCGTTTATTAATTGAACATAAAATTTTTGTTCATACTCGTTTATTTAGCTTAATAAACGAACGTTATATGAACGGTTCACGAACAATTCACCGAACACTTTGTTCATTTACACCCCTATTTGTTTGTTTGCTTTTATGAAGCTAAATGTCGTGTCCAAGATTATGAAGTTATGAGTTTATTTATTTATTTAAAGTTAATTATGGGTTTACTGGTTGAATCTATTTAACATAGTGTTTATTTTTTTCCACTCAAATGTCACTTATATTAATTGGTTTTGAAACTGGAAACTTAATTTAGATTTTCTTTTCTAAATCTTGTGACTAATTCATAATATGGTGAGTTAGTAATTTTATGTTAGTAAATGTGAATGATTTGCATAAAAGGAAAAAAAAAATACACACTAAAGCAACTTTTATTTCGTTTATTTGTTGTTTTTAGGGATGGCGTATTCTTCCGGCAGAGTATAAGGAAAAGTAGCCCAATTTATTTATTTTTTTTAAAAAAAATAGTTCAATTTAAAATTAAGGAAAGACGCGATAAAAAAATTATAAAAATATAATATTTTTTTATTGGATGTAACATAATATGTTAATTTTTTTAATATTTTTTGATTGTAAATTTTTTTATACAATCGAAAATGTTATATTTTTCTTAACATTTTATGTTGAACCGAAAATGTTAAAGAGTTAACATTTTAAGTTGCACTCAATAAAAAATGTTATGATTTTTCATAACATTTTTTGTCGTGTCTTTCCTTAATCTTAAATTAGATTGCTCTATGATAGAACTACCTGTATTCTTTCATTTTGAATTTTATATATTTATTGAAAAACTGATTAAAGCGACCATTCCATCAAAATTGACTACATTGATCGACTCTATGTGGAAGAACTGAAATGATGAATCTGATATTTTGGATGTGGCTTTTATAGGATTTTTTGTTTAAAGATTTTTTTATAAAAGATAAAATTTAGGCAATGAAATTTGAAATTCTTATATTCTTTTTAAAATAATATGGTTTTTGGATTTATATTGTACCCAATGCTATTTTTAAATTAAAATATAATTTATTCATCATTAATTATTATGATGTTAATATGATAATTTATGATGTTAATATGATATTTGAGGATAGATAATATGTTGAGTTGTAGACTTGTAATATATGCCGGTAGCTGATATTTTTTTTAATACTATAACAAAGGCGTAACTCCACAAATTCTTAATTAAATAAATTGAAGAAAATTATATGTTTGAATATGTGTACACATACGTCTTTCAACTTTCAAGCTGTTTCATTAATATTATTAATTCAACATTATTGTTTTATTAAGTTTTGATTATTTATGTCATCGTTTTATTAAGTTTTGGTCACTTGGATCTAAACTTGAACGTAGATGTCGTTAGTTTGATGACGTGACATGTTATTAAAATGGGTTTTGTTGAGCCAATCGAACCAATGGAATGACCAAGATGGGGTAAATTAACTAAAAAAATTGATAGAAGCTTTTAGCAAGAAAATCAAAGACAAACAATTTGAGTGGTTCAACTTCTTCAATAAAGTCTACATCCACTACATTAGCTTCCACAATAAGGATTTCAATAAATTCACTAATTTGTTCAAACATTTTAGGACAAGGAGTAACCTTATAATACACTTATACCCCAAAGTATCTAGTATACAACCCTTCTTAAGAAGAAATTACAAAGATCAAACTTTGAAAAATCGCTTAAAAGTAATTTGTTTGTAAAATTTAGAACAAATAGAACACTTGAAAGAACGAAACAAAGCAGTACAAAAGCAGTACAAAAGGGTTTGATTGTTGACGTTAAATTATTCCTATAATCTGAAAATTTGTATATTGGGATCTAAGTTGAATATCGTAATTTTGCAGGAGATATCGAAGTACAAAGGGATTTACCGTTCCCTCACCGTTACCCGTGACTTTCAAACCGACTCGTATTACCCATGCTGAGCGTGAGAGATAGTTGATATTTTTAGTTGTCTATTTAGATTATTTATCTAATTATTACATTAATCCGTAGGAACTGATTTCGACCAACCACTACAAGAAAATATATATTTAATGACACACGAACGATGACACATGTTAATTTATGACTTGCAAAAAATGTGTGTCATAAAAAAAATGTAATGTTTCTTAAAATCTGAACGATTTATGACTTACAATAATGTGTGTCATATTTAATAGTCATAATCCAAAAATTTAGCAAACACACGGAATACACTTTTCATTGTGTGTCATCTCTAAAAGTCATCTTTTAATTTCCCCTCATAATTTTCATCACATACGTGCACATATATGCTTTGCCGCTTCTAGTTCTCCTCAATCATCATTTCACACTAAACCTATGTTTCCCTTTTTCTCTTTGCATCATTTCACGCACGCATGCTTCCCCCCTTTTTTCTCTTTTTATTCCGATTAGCACAGCTGAATCTGCACTCTCACAAGGCCTCTCAGTTGATCCACTGGTTTCGTCATTCACCACAATGCAGACGAAATATAGCAACAGTTCAAATATTCAAGTCAAACAATCTGCAGTCTCACAAGGCCTCTCGGTCCACTGGTTTCTCCATTCACCACAACGCAGATAAAGGGAGTCAAAATTTAAGGGTTTCCACAGGTATTCCTCGTTCTCTATTCCACCATTCAAGTTGGGTTTCTGGTCTTACAAATTACTTATGTTATATTCCTGTGAATTTGTGTGTAAAACCCTTTCTCTACGGCAACGGGAGAAACAATGTGTGTTTGTTAATGTTCATTTTAACTGAAACTCAAAGTGGTGTGTTATCTTCGGTGGTTGACATGATTTTCCGTAATATGGAAAGCAAACCAAGTAACTCTTACTTTCTTTTCAACTAGTGCTATAGTGTTAGGCATATGTGAAGACATGGAGTTTGCTTTTCCAGTTATATGTTCTTCTTTCTTGTTTACTAAACAATCATGAAACTTAAACTTCTACGGAATTCCAACTTTTGGGTATGGTTAATTTACTAGTGAATTAGGCTTTATAAAGAATCATTGGGTGAATTAGAGAAAGTGGAAGTGGAGATGGGCTAGAACACGAGATTCGATCAACAATAATTTAAGGGCATGGAGGATTGATTTGATTTACAATTGTTTATTTATTTATAATTTTCCATATCACATAATCACTAAAACTAAACACCCCCTTAAATAGACAGTTTACGACATTTTAAGAAGTATAAATACCCATTTATTTGGATCCACTTGGATGTAAACTATAGGAGAGCTGATTAACCTCTAGAAAGTTGATTAATCTTTCTTCTTGATTTTCTTTTCAGGGTCTTATAAACATCCACTTAAATTTGGATCTTTTATCATCATGTAGTTTCAACTTCAGTTCTATTTGAAGAAATTTAATGAATATACTTGCATTTATTTACGTAGAAAATTCTAACTACCAATTTGAAATAAGTGGGTGGAGTTTAGTATTTGTAAAGTTCATGTTTTTAGTGTTGATACTAAAAGAGAGAAATTTCTTGTCAATATAACAAGATTGGTAGGAAAATGGACTTTTGGTAAATCATATAAACAATGATCTATTTAGACAGAGAAGGTCATAAATTTTGAATTTTGTTTATAATTGGAACAGTTCTTGACTCGATATTATCTCTTGATTGCTACTAAGAACCTCAATTAAGGAAAAGAAGATACGGTTGAGAGAAGTAAAGTAATATAGCATTGTGATTGCTGGTCAACTATTGATATACGCTAAGTTAAAAATAAATAATTTTTATTATTTGCGCAGTTCAGGAACCTTGGCTTGTGGTTATCTAATTTATCTCTAAAAAGTTGTTTATCATTGCATAAAGGTTTATGTGGAAAGGTAATCTTTGATAACTCAACATAAGATGTGGATTTTGCAGATCATACATGAAAACAGTCATGTAGTTGGCATGCATTTTCATTCTTTTTCTAAGCATACAAAAGAGCAATACTTGTTTATCTTCCAGTTTATTTGATTCATGCGCTTATAGTACATCGCCAAGGACTTGGAAAACGATACATATTTGTTTGTCCCCTTGTCCTCAAAATAGTATTTCTTACTCATCTGCTCTAGATATGGTTTGTAGTTATGTGTTTTACTTTTATTTAACTAACCAGCGTTTTAATTCGTTAATTGTTAATAAAATTTTCTTAGCTTTCAGCAAATTTGCATTCCTCTAATTTCTAGCATTATTCTATGTCAAACTAGTCAATTTGTGAACCCATCTACCGAATTTCTGTCTTCACCACCTGACAACATACGAAATGACTCCAACTAACCACTGTCAGTGAAGATGAAAGTATGAAATTTAGGATCTTTCTGAATTTCGATGATCATCTATCCACACCTTTATTCTTCGTTCTTCTAAATTCATTATAAGCAATTACCATAACTATACGTGGAAAAAGAACACGATTATCAGGGTTTTTGTTTTATATTCTTTTTATTGTCCTGTAATTATCTTTATAAGACCTACAAGTTATTTATATTACAAAGCGTTTTTATTTAGACTTAATATTCTTTACTTGATGTAGGCCTTTCACAATATTGGCTAAAGATCTTTTTGGTATTGCAAGATCAAGCTTGTTTCTCTCCACATACTGTACTTCTGCCTGGTGAGCTTCAGTGAACACATACACTTCATTTCTCTAGCTTAAAGAAATTTCC